GTTTTAAAAATCATCTCAAGAAACACAGTGCCAAGAATGTTGAAACTTATGGGAGAAAATTTCAAGAAGTGTAGATTCAAGTTTGTTCACATATACTCCCATCCCCTTTAAAGGTAGATTGGGACCACTTATGGATTTAATGGATTTAAACTTTCAATATTGAGCTGATTTCTGCTATTTTCTTAGCCACGGTGCTCAGGTAAGCGATGTAGCCCATGGGCCTCTTGTAGTTCCACTGCGTTAGTACAATATAAATATATATTTATTGAATCGCATAATTATTAAAAGTTATCTTAGCATTCGATAAAGTTGTCCCACAGTTGCTGAAATCGCACCTGTTTTTTTTTTTCATTCTAACCCCCCCCCCCATATGGAGGATGTGTTGCTGTTTGAAAAAACTTTGCGTACGTACTGCTCAGTATGGGTTCCCTGTTATGGGTATTCACATGTTCTTACAGAAATCTCAGTTTTATAAAGGATTGCGAAAATGTGCTTTTGAGTACTTTTCTACATAATGCACAGTATTTAAAAATTCTGGCAGCAGTGCATGTATGTCGTATATGAGCAATCAGAATGGATTTAATGTGTACTTACTGATAATTAAAAAATCAGAGACTGAGTGATAAATAAACGAAAATACCTGATCATATTTTAAACATCACTGAAGCAATAGATTGAAATACATATATTCAGCCACTGAAACGTTTCCTGGAGAGAGAGAGAGAGAGAGAGAGAGAGCTATTATACATGTGTGTATTTTTTAAAGCAAAACTATGCACCCGTTCTAATTTAGTATTTTGACATAATTATTGACAATTGTGAATAGGCATACTTCTCTTCTTGACAGAAATGTTCTTTTATACGGCTGTTTGGGGTATACTAAGTTCTCAAGTCTCAAGTTCATGGTTTGATACATAAACGGAATATTTCTCTTTTCCACAGAAAAATCATTTCACATCAACAGTACTAGTGATTTGAAACAATTAAATTAAATTGATCATGTGCATCATTTTATATCGCATGTATACCGTGCAATATACACAAATGGTAAATGCTATAAAATTAAATTTTCACGGCTTTAATTTATTATGGACTCTAAAAAATGCATATAATATAAATAATGCTCTTTTCAAACTCTTTAATAAGATTTGTGTTTCTGTCCCCTTTTGTAAACCCGTTAAACGTCGGCGATGTGTATTGCAGCTGACCGACTTTAGTGTGGGAGAGACGCGATCTCGGTTACGTCCTTTGATGTGGCGAAATGTGACGTAGTATTTAAAGTTCTCGACAAGCAAAGCGTCAGCTCGTCACAAACAATGTAATCCTTTAGGGGTTTTGCGATTTGCTCTAATCAATTGTTGCATTTACTTGTAAAAATATGTTTTTTTTATATATAGGAAGCGAAAAAGCGCGAACACAAAAAACATAACATTATATTTTCTACTTCATAGCAGTCGTCAAAGAGAGTTAAAAATATTGAATATAGTCTGTTCTCCATTCATTCGACCCTGTTATTTCAGGTAGAGTGAAGGCATTCTACTTCTTTTGGTCAACACTTTTGTGTACAAAACAATGTAAGGAACCCTTTTGTGTACATAACAATACCAATGCTGAAGCAGCCTATATGTAATTCCTATAAACGATAACCCATAAATCGCCACTTAGTTGGTCATTTTTCACACCTGAGTTACCTGTCCTTAAAACACAACATCGTAAAAGTCAATTATGAAATATTAAATTTTTTAATGATTTAATTAAAAATATATACAAGTTATTATCTATTTTGATATTTTCATGTACCTATAAACCTATATATGCAATGTTTTTTATCATATGTGCAACTTGAAAATTTAGTTGAAAGGCCTATTCAACGCCTTAGTGACCACACAGTATTTATCACCAGAATAGACCCGTGCTGTGCAAGGAATGATAGAATAAGCATTTTGTGGTTACCCATTAAGGTAGAATTTTTCTACAACAGTAAAGATTTTTTCCTTTGTTAAACTGTCTAAAGCAAAACAAAAAAAATCATTCATTTAAAATGAATTAATAAATAATAATAATATGTATGCAAATACCTGTATTCTTCTTAAAATGAGGAAAACATAAAAGTCGCATTTCAATAATCATTTATAATCATAAAATAAGACCTCAAATTACAGGTTCACCTTTATTTCAAAAGACAACGCTCTGATTGCGAAGATCTCTGCCTTCTGCAATTTTGCCAAATTATTTGAAAATATATACATTATTTTAGATTTAGAAAGTAAATTTAAAATCTCATTACAAGAAAAATACTTCTTTAAAAAGGTTTAAGTCAATTAAGAGAAGAATCCAAAATCGGGCATTGGCTCTGGGTTCGCGGTATGAGCAGTTGATCCATAGGTACTAGGTTTGAATTCCTCAGCGGAACGTGGAGACCGCGGCCCATCGAATGATTGTAAACCAAGGTTCGCACTTGCTGCTTGAAAGAAAAAAAGATTCCTTGCTGCTCAAAGACCTTTATTTTTCGATGCAAATGTAAACTTGCAGTTCTCCAATGGTACATATGTAAGTGGTGGCGTCTGAATATTAGTTAAAAATTCTCGAAAAGGGCGTAAAACAAACAAACAAATATATGCATGGATATAAATTTAATTTTCACGCAAAATGAGGATATATATGGCACGTATAAAATTAATTTTGTAACGTATGCCAGTGGAAACAGGACTTTTTTTTGCTTTTTGCATCCGTCTCGACCTGGTCCTAGATATTATTTTATGCAACGCACGAGACAATGCAAACATTCATCATTATACCAATACTCAAAGACTCATATAAAACAATTTAACTCCTTATATACGAGTTGGAAAAGGAGTAAAATCTTTGTACAAGTTGTGGAGACATAGGATTAACTTTTAAGATGTCATCAAATCGTGTTCATTATTGGTCATTTATCAAAGGACGTCAAGATTTTCTGAAGCACCCTTTTCCGGTTCCATCAGCCGACCATCTGGTAGAGACCTTCCGGTCGTCATTTCTGCGCTTTCACCGTCATGCCTAATCTTTTTTGCAAACGAAGATAAGGTTCCCCCTACCCAAACCAAGATAACAATAGCCGAGAGTCAAGTAACTGATTATGTCTCGAAAATTATCATCACGCCTTGAATACGTAAAATTCCTGTAAAAATTCATTTGCAAATAAACTTTGTTACTACATTTGTACATTTCATGATGTCAATATTGTGAATGGCCGCAGCATGAACGAGGTTACACCCAATGACCCATACTTTGTCACGTGTTATGTCTATCCCGTATTGACATTTTGGTTTTGTCATTCACACCCAAATATTGTTTTTCCCATGAATGCAGCATCGTAAATGATATTGGCATTGCCGTGAAGTACAATAAAACCCACCCTTTTGTTTTTTCATAAATATCTGCTATTTGATATTGTTCCATGCATTTATTGTTTGTATAACGTCAAGCATTGTACATCTAGAAAGGATACAATATATAAAAATAAAACTTTATCTCATTGAAATATTTACAAGAAATGTTGATATTTTTTAGACATTACATTATCTGTTAGTGAAGGGATGACGAACTTTAAAGATTTATTACAATATCTCATGGTTTAACGAGGGCATTGATACACAAAAAAATGAACAACATAATGAACTACTTTCAAAACAGAAGCCGTGATGCTGTCTTACCTAATCATTGAACTAAAAGGTTGCAAAGTGCATAGTAGTTTCTTTCAATTTAATTAAACTTTTATTGTTTATTTACAAATGTCCAAAGTCAACCACGAAAAAATGGCAAAGAAATCTGATTTTCATTAAAAATTTTCGTATCTTTTTTCTTTGTAGATAAGATATGATTTTGACATTCATGTGCACTTTATTTAACTTCATGAGACTGTTTGCATTGTTTATAAATCATACAGTGATCTAATCTCTGAATCTTCATAAATTCCAAAATGATTTCAGTGTAGATACATTAAGGTCAGTTAGGTCTTTCATATCAATCCTTTCCCATAAGGGGTGTATACTGTAATACAAACTTCACCTCTGTCGTGTCAAATTATTGAAATTCAAGGCCACTGAGTGTGGAATCTTCGCTATGAATGAATCGTAGAGATTGCAAGGTATCTGTATAATATATATGAATAATTTTAAAGATTTATATCAAGAAAACTGGAAAATATCGTAAATGCTACAGTACTTTTCATGTTTTAAAGATATAAACTAGATATTCCAATTAAAAGTGCATGTACATGTGCAATGTAAATCGTAAACGAAAGGAATTCAAAATTCATCTAGACAAAATTTTATTTTGCATTTCAAATATACTACATGTATATGAAAACTGTGCCTGTAGGTTAATTAATAACTAGGGGGAAAACAGAAAGAAATTTTTTTTTTACCCCCATTACCCTTTCTAAAATATATGTACATGTATCTACTTATGCTATTTATACAGTTTGTTCTTTTTGACATTGCGAGTAATACGCAAGTGAAGTGGTTAGGGCACAAGCCAGTTATTTCAGATGTAAGTTTGGGTTGTTAACCTATTTGTAACCTTTTAACACCCAGTCTATTTCCTCCCATTCATTCATGACACGTAGACAAGCGACATTGAAGATTCACAAAGATTCTATTTCAACAAGTCTGCAAAAGACAGAAAAACAATCAAAAAGAAGAGAACAATTTCCAAACTTTTGCATAAATGTAAATTAGTAAATTTACAATTTGACTATGGGTTATTTTGTGTTTCTTCTATACGTGAATTGGTCTTACCATAGCTTAACTTGTCTTCATCTAATATGATATTATATGTTGCATGATGTCAATATGATTCCCAGTGTTTGATGAGAAAAAAATCGTTCAAGAATTTCAAGATATCATGGAATCTGCGATTGTTGACGTGAACTTCTAATGCAAATTGGCGGGGTCAACTTGAGATACTTGAAAACGGATTGGTCTCTAGTCTGCCTACGTGATTTTATTAACGATTTCGCCGCTATAAATTTGAAAGGTAAAAAATCCTCTTCCATTAATTCAAAGGTGCTAAGGAATCAGAAAAAGGAATACTTACAGCAAAGGTTAGTAGTTTCACTAGTAAAGCAGAATATATTTAAATCTAAGTAAATGGACAAAACTATATCTTATTAAAAAGACCCTTTCTAATGAGTATAGAATCTCAGTAATTTGCGCATTTGACATAAAATCACACGCACACAAAAAATAGTCTTATAGTGAAATAAAAAAAAAAAAACAGTTTTCCAAATTAAGAATATGTGTCCAAGAATTCATATTTCTCGGGACAACCACGAGTTGCTAATCATTACACAAATTATTATTGCAAAAATAATTTACTGGTAAACATGTAAACTTATAGTCTCAAAATTTGTTCATTCATCTTCTGATGCAGACTTTGTTGAAAATTACTTTTTAAACAGTATGATGAATATACTTCTAACATGGCAAAATAGGAAGGGGTGAAAATAAGGTATCAATATTTTTTTCTCTTTTCTTGCTTTCCTTTGAAACTAGTATAGACTTAGAACAACCAAAAAAATCGTCATTTTGAATTACGTTCCGACTTTCGACCAATCCTTTCATTTGTTAGTTTGCATTTTTAGGGTTAAACAAAATTAACTAATTAAGTCTTAAAATGAATTTTATGAAAGGTTGACAGATAGGGTGTAACCAATAATGTAAGTTGCTTTAATAATTATATTATTACCTAAATAAAGATAGTTACTATACACTACTTCATTGCAAGTATTGAAACTTGTAGTTTATGCGATTGTAATTAGTTAGTAGATGGATATCACGATATTTTGAAATGTTGTGGTTTATATCAAACAATCAAGGAAAGAGTTTTTTAACCAAACCTTTGTTCTAACCAAAATCCTATGGAGTTTTGTGAAGTCATCTGCCAAAAAATGTAGATTTCTTTGGAAAAATTTATGTTCTGACATTAATTAGTATAATTAATAGCAAGGTTGTTCTGCTAAGCTAATTATAAAATAATCTCACTTTTTGTTTGGCACACTGTAATATACATTGTATATTGCAACATTTATACGTTTTATATGTTCACGTTCCTCACAAACATTTTACATGGTCTTGAGAGAATAAATTGATCGATTGAATGATTGACTGACATTTTTTATTTTTTTTTTATTATATTATTTTTTTTCAATTCTCAAAATATCTTTAAAGAAATACAGATTGCTTTTTTTCTTGTTTGCCATCTAATGTACAAACTCAGCACCAAAAGACACTGTTATTTTGAGTTACTTTCCAACTATCGAGCAATCCTATCATTTGATAATCTGCATTTTTCAGGGTTAAAAAATTACTAACTGTAAAAATGTTTTGTTGTTTTTTGAATGGCTTCTAAAAGAAGTTGACAGATTGGGTGTTAACTATATTGAAAATTGCAATCGACCATTACCTTACGAAAGATAGCTACTACCAATGACTTCATTTCAAGTAATAAATCTTGGCATTGTTTTACTTTACGGTAGATCAAAAATACACATGAAAACCAATAATGATAATTCTTTAAGCGGATATTGTTATCACCAAAAACATATAATAAAAATTGATTTTTATGGAATGTTTTATTAATGAATAGTATATACTAGTACAGTACACGTACAATGTAATTTAAGAAATCTTCCAACTGAAGCAAACACTCATTGACATCTTAATATGAATGAACATTATATTATTTACCATTGCTGATGAAGGACACGGTTTTTATACCAGTATGCTGATATACTATTTCTATTGCCTGCATCTACATGGTTTATCGAAGAACAAAGCTTCAGCATATTTAAATTTGAAAAAATTTGAAAAGTGCAGGGATAAATAATTTTTATATTAAATAGAGTCTTATGAAAACGTTTGTGACATTTTCAAAACTTTTTAAAATATGTCTTAGTGCGGAAACCGTCTGTGAAATCGCCAAATTATCTTTTCAACTGATTTAGATTTTTTTTTTTAATTCAAAAAAGTGTATGCTACAGTAGACCATATCATTACAGATGCTTCGAACGCAGATTTTGGCGGGAATTTGCTGTCTGCTCGTCACTGTTGCCAGTTTAATAGAATGTCGGTATCTAGATCAAGACGACACACCACGGTAAGATTTACCCACAATAATTAATTAACAGCTGTAATTAATTAATATTTTAATGTAATTCACTAATTTTGAAGGATAAATAAACATTTGAATTTAAAAATTATTGATTACTCTCTTTTGAGATTGATTATTAGAGTTTTTAGAAAATTGAAAATAATGAGAACTTATGAATTGATATTATGAGATGTTTGTAGGGTTTCTTTTCATGAATTTATGTTTAACTCTACTACATGTATTATTATATTGATTGTACTCTGTAAATGCCGTGCGTGCGCTGGCGCATATTCCACATGTTTGTGTTTTAAAACTTTCATTGTGCTTTCTAGCTTTTCCATTTCTTCAACTATATTTTGAAAAAATAAACGTTCTAACAAATAAGATATTTAGTTATAAAATAATATTCCACATGTTTGTGTTTTAAAACTTTCATTGTGCTTTCTAGCTTTTCCATTTCGTCAACTATATTTTGAAAAAATAAACGTCCTAACAAATAAGATATTTAGTTATAAAATAATATTCCACATTTTTGTGTTTTAGAACTTGCATTGTGCTTTCTAGCTTTTCCATTACGTCAACTATTTAAAAGTTCATTTTAACAGTCTAAAAAAAATTTCCAGGCAGTAGGTCTAGAGTTTTCACGTAAAAATATTGTATACTATCTTTAACCTTTTTATGTGCAAATCTGTAAAAAGTTAAAAAAGAACAATTCAGAAAGAACTTACGATTTGAATTAATCGAATGAAAGAATAAATCGATAAGGATAAAGAATTTTAGCCTGTAATTATTATGACTTTTGAGAAATTCGTGATTTTAAGAGCCAGCAGATGATCTATCAAAGAAATGGCTCCTAATTACACATCATCATGTCTCGGGGTAGCTGATGCACGTTTTACATCGTTATCGTACTCTTGAAAGGGGATATAAACCTGTCACCTTGCAGATTGTTTTAGCAATAATTTCTCGTAAAAAGGTGATAAGAAAAACTAAAATATTAATCAATATTTCACTTCACTTTTAAAAAATATTCTTTCTTTCTAAATTATAGAACATTGCTTATATAGATTTATAGATTTAGCAATAGACAAAATAATGTATAAATATGCTTTTTCTCTTTAGGCTTTCTATATCTGTATTTTGCTTTGGGTGTTTTGTTTAGTGTCTATGTTATTTACAGTTTCAAACGCCAGACGGCAGACATGAGATTATCAGAATTACATGCCCTCAGAGAAATACTCAACAGATTACCCACTGGATGTTCGCAATACGCATGCGGAATAGTGGATATATTTAGAAGGTATCTACACGCATGCTTATTCACAGAATGTGTGCTGGAAACCCGATTTCCCAAAAAAAAATCTAATGCCAAAAAGGGCGAATGATGGTTGCATTATAATCCAGGCCAACACCCATGTGCACCTCATTCACACCACCAAAGATGGGTTACCAGCATTCATTTTCTCATGTAACATCTATATCGTTTTACATTATCCAGATATGACAAGAGATCGTGGTCAGATCAGCGAATAGCCGAACTTAAAGCTCTACTAGCTTTGAAGAACCAAGGGAATGATATTGCTCACGGTCTTTTTGATCCTTACAAGATGTAGGTAGTAGTCTAATAGTTGTCGTCTGCTTCTAGAGTGACGTGGCAACTCCACGCTCTGTGACGTCATATGTGTGCTTATTCTCCTCGTGCTTCTATCTGGCTAGTGGTGAAGGTATTTCTTCTTCTTTCCAGTTCCCCCTTTCTCTATCTCTTTCTGCAAAATCTGAAACTCCCCTTCTCTCTCCTCCATTCTTTGTTCAGTTTTTAATTTTTTTTTTACTTAATATGGAGCTTTCGTAGTCAATTAGGGCGATATTTTGAAAAAATATGTTTTCATCTTTGAGATTGTATTAATGGTATCGTTCTTATGATATGCAGATTTGTCAGGAAACGCACTTCTTCTGATCAACGTATTGCAGAACTTCAAGCGCTTATTGCGTTAGTTCATGGGCGCGGTAACGTTGCACACGGACAGTTAGACCCATCTATCATGTAGGTATCAGAAAAGGCAATATTGTGCACAGACATGCGCATTTCATGTCTAATTGCCTACACGCTTCTGTCTTTGAATCGACTTTTTCACAATTGTCCATGTCCAATTGTCTTCGAGAGAAAACCCTACAGTCTGTTTCTGTCTGGCTTCAGTCATTCTGTCATGTTTAGTGAGTAGGTTTCTGAGGTATATTGTGTTTTCCCTTAGTTCTTTACCCTACTTGTATTTTTCAGTAGATATTAATGAACTTTATATCAATAGGGATATTTCATCTTCATTCTCATGTGATCAAGATGGCAATTTTTATGTGGCTTTGTTTGTTACCATCATTTATAAAAAAGAGAGAAAAGGTTTAGCAAAAAATATCACATTACATTTCAATATTTAGATTTTTAAAATTCCCTCTTTCATTGAAATTTTTTTTTTGCAAAACAGTTTATATCGTTATATTTAAAAAATTGAATCACAAAAACGAAGGATTTTTCCTGACCTTCACATTTTCCCAAATGTTTTTAGAATATCTGTGTGTATAAATCTTGTATATGTGTAACTGTGTATCACTGAAATTTCCTCAATAATACAGTGTATTGTCTTTTTATGTTTTACATCAAGTTTTGAAGGCTTTTTCATGTCTTTTACATTTAAACTGCTTTTTAATTTTATTGACGCTAAATAATACTCCAATTTCGTTTCTCTCACCTTTAAAAGATATGCTACTAAATCACTATAAGTAATACAAATCTTTATTTCCAATAGTGGCAGAAGAAAACGTGCAGTTGAAAAGCTAAATAGAGTGTTTTCGAAACGAAGAGCTTTTGCTGAGGAAGAAACGAGCCATTGAAGTGTTGTGATTTTTAGTATGTATAGTATATAATTCCAGTCAGATTCAATATTTAATATTTTCAGTGTAAACTTTATCTTTTAAGTAACAAAATATTGTCCTTGTGCCACTTGCTGAACTAATACGGAAATACAACTGAAATTGGCAATCGCTACAACAGTCATATTGAGCAAAGTCAATAGCCCTCGAGTCTCTTGTAATTCTTTAAGGATTAACAGAAGGCTTTGTTTACCCTTTTCAGATTTTTATGCACGGATCTCATCCCCGGCCCGGTCGAGGTGCCTGGTTACAGAGTATTTATTTTGGAACGTGAGGAATTGGATGACAGATTAATAAATAAATCGTCCTTATGTCATTTTGTGTTTTGTCTCAGGAACCCAGCTGTGCTGGTTGTCTAATGTTTGTATGTCTGTTTGTTAAGATGTTTAAATTAAAGTATATTTGTATTTTATATTTTTTCTTTCATGGATGAATTGGATTGTCATATCAAAATGGATGCCCCAGTGCACCTTGACCATGTCAGACTCCGCCTGTCATTTTCAGCGTGGTAAAATTTCATTTTGGTTGATCCTAAAAAACTTTGGTTGTGCTAAAAATAGAAAAGAAAAAAGAAGACACCGATACACCGCTCCTTTGTCAAACATTTGATAAACACCTGTGTCAAATAATCTTTATTGCCATTTTAAAGTGACTTCGTAACATGCAAACAATAACATAGTGACCATGCATCCCTTTGGAATAATATGTTCAATGAGTATATCTATTAAAATAAAATGATTCTGAAATACTATCTATGGTATATGAACACGATGAACGTCAAAATAATACAAAAAATATGCATTACATGCACCTTTTTGAAGAAATAAAGTAAAAAAAAATAATCTCATGATGCAAAAACTTACTCGAATATACTAATGATATGAAAGTATCCTCTCTATAAATTAATGGACATCGATGATCAACTTATTTGCTAATGGACGGGTTCTACACCTGAAATCATACACATCTTCAAAAGTTTGATTTGTTCAGCCTGTGAGATCCCACATTTTGAGTCCTTCGGTACACACAGCCAAACGCAATTGCAATCTTTTCTTTCTTTGGTCCTATTGAATAACATTGGTCGGACTGGTGACGTTTTCTGAAAGTCAAGACTTCTATTTCCACTTTTTCGCACACCCCATTCGGATTTGGACCATCATCATTTAAAAAATTTCGACAGTGTCGTGGGGAGCTGTTGTCACTCGTAAAACAGTTATTTTTAGGTTTTGCGGTCAGTATGTACCGAGGGAACCTTAATGGGTCTGAGGAGTAATTGTAGTACCACGGACAGCTGGATCTGTCCTGGGGGAGAATGGAGTCTTCGTCCTGGGGGTGATGACAGAAAAACGAGGGGTGGAGGTTTGGCAAAGGCAGGGTATGAACAAAGAGTTGATAGCCACCTGTGGATAAGAATGTCGCGTTGTTCATGTGATTTAAATAATCGTTTAACTGTTGTGCTGAACACAGTCGTGGAAGAGTCTGGGATTGAACACACTGAATTAGAAATCCAAACATCTGAAAAAATAAAATAAAATGAGGATTAAAAAAAGGACTAAAACTTTCATTTCCAAATTCATTCAGTGGAAGTTTTACGTCGAAAGTTAAACATGGTAAACTGAAGCATTTGAAAGACTGCTTAGTATGCTCACTCCATGCAATTATCATTCAATATCTTTAAACTGAAGTTTCAGTCAATATGTGTACCTATGCTCATCTGTTATGTGTATCTGATAGTATCTTGATGTTCATCGAAACACTGCACAGAAAACATTTCAAAATAAAAGCCTTTTGCAACAAAATATAGAAGCCTTTTGCAACAAAATACAGAGTGCCAAACTGAGAAATGTAACCTTTTCTTTTTAATTTAAATTTTGGCATTGCAATTGAAGCTGATTTTAAAATAAATAACAGATCAGCAGATGTCCTTACATCATTACTTATCAACTTTTTTGTAACGATTCTTACTTATAATTTGTGTGAGTAGAACTCCAAATTATTGAATATTCTACACACGAAGCATATCCAAACATACTCACCAATGTCAACAAAAACATGATTGCTTTCGATTTGTTCAGCCAAAAATAAAAGAATAAAAGAATACATCTTTGCATCTAGAATTTATATTAGAAGCCAAACAGGAACTCTCATCAACCTTCAACTACTCGGAAATAAAGGATTAAGATTGATAAGAAAAGCTAAATGTTTGGAAAATTCCCTTCGAAAATTATTTATGTATGACGTGCAAACCTTTGCTTACAATTAAGTAATGGTCACCTAAAAATAGATGAGTTCAATGTCAACCTAGCCACATGTATACAGGGTATATTCACTATAATCTGTTTGATATGCTGATAACAGAGTTTCAAATGTTTATGTCTGGATTTAAAACCCAAACAATAAAGATTTCATCATATTCGAATCGTCCGTAGGTGTAAATGAATATTGTTTCAGGTGTACATATGCAAGCAAAGCCTACGATGGGTGGACACTTTACATCTTTATGTATAACTGAAAAGCAATCAATTAATACACCTACAACTAAAAACTTTTTCCCAGTGTACTCTGGAGAATGTAATGTTAGTTAGGGATTTGCAAATCATACAAAATTTACTGAATATTATCTTTTGCTTTACAAATAGTACTAGTTTTTCAATTTTAATGTTTAATCTTAACAGTTTATGTAGCTAAAAGGTGAAACGGTTAAAGGCATCAGAAAAGGAAATTTTGCACCAGCCATAGAAATTGGATCATCTAATAACGTTCTATTGTTTAAAGACCCTATTGTTTTAAATTCTAATGAAATACAGATGTATATATAAAGATATCGAATTATAATCAAGTTCAAAAACCCATGAAACAATACAAATCTTTGGAACAGAGCAAACACGGACCTCTAAATTTTCAGAGTTGGGAGTCAGGTGCAATGGAGGAGTGAGCATCCTACAAGCATTCTATGATTTCTTCCTTTACAGCTTTTAAGTATATTTGCTGCACTTACATTACTAGCAGCAGATATTTTACTTTACTTCAGGCACCCAGGTGACCTAATGTTGTGATGCCATGCGTCGCTCGTAAAATCTTAGAGCATTTTCAGTCTCTAACAGTATCTGAAATGGTTAAAGAACTTTCAACCAATAATGATATCCTTGCAAATCCTGAGATTGAGGGAAATGCCATAAATAATTAAAACACAAGAAAAAGTCTTCATTAAAATGTAAATCGGGAATCAAAATTTGTCATTACAGCATTGTGATAAGGGAATCCTGCAATACACTTTATTTTGCACTGTTTGACTTCTATAGTCTATTTTAATGCTTTTTGAAGATTTTGACTTAGGTCAAAGGTATATTTCACAATCCTCTAACCAGAATATTTTAGCATGCAAACTTTAGGTTTGTTAGCTATGTGAGCTATGAATCCTTTGTGATGAACTTTGTATCTGGTAGGCGTTTGGTATATAGTCCCAGGGTGCTCTTATTGAAAACACGTTATGTTTCAACAAATAAAATGTATCTTGATATAATAAATAGGATTTTGTGAAGAACAAGGAGTCCCAATGCTCAGTTTTAGTTTTAAAATGATATTTGTTACATACATGTAGCCCCAGTTCTAGACTTTCTGCCACAGTTATATGTAATATGTTCATCAGTTGAAAAGAAATAATCACAATACATTTATGCACACGGAGAACGGTCGAGCCTTTTGTGATTAAACAATCTTCATATTATTGCAACAAAAGCATGAAAACAAAAAAAAAAGCTTACAAAAAATGAAGAATATGTACAAGATGGCACACATGAAAAATTCGTTAGACTTGGTTTTTAACCTATAGCAAGCTTCCGAATTCCTTATAACTTCCTCGCCTTACACTTAATCAATCCCTCCCATCAACGGCTTGTTCTGATAGGAATCTTAAGAGTGAAGTATCACAGGCAACAGCCATTTAAGTGAAACTCGTATTATAAACCTTAATTCTTCCTCTCAAGGTGACTATTATTGTTATATCAAGCTTTTTATCCATTAAGATATTGCTGAATTTTCCATTACGTGAATGGTAACTTTGTTGTACTGAAAATGATTCGGTTGATTCGTTTGTACAAAGGATAAGCTTACGAGATATCTAAGTTTGACATATTGAGATCTAAGTGTATATACTTCAAACCTATTTATAGCATTATAAATGTGACATATGCAAGCACCTATATATACCATGTTATTGATTGATGTGGCACTGAAACATGATTGTAATTAATTAATCTTTTGTGATCAATGCCTAAATCTTTCAGAAGTTTAAATGAAAACATACATGAAAGTAATTGGTTTATGTAAAATAATTTCTTGCTTTATGATTAAGATATATGTTCTCACGTTTTAAACAGATCAGTTGATCCCTCAGCAAATTTTCATATAAAATGGAATGCAGTAGGAACCATTGAGCTTATGTCCAACATTTTCATGTATTTTATAAATTAATACCTCAACATAGTAACTATTAAAATGGAAAGAATAGCAGTCTTTGGTCCTATCCTGTTGTGCACAAATTCTAATGAATGTTTAATGGAAATCACGAATATTTTAAACAATCAATGAAATTTTTATTTGATTTCATTAAATTTTATTACTTGATACTCTTTTTCATTAAATTTTATTAATTGATATTATCCTCCCCCCCCCCCCCCCAAAAAAAAATTCATTTTTGGACCTTGGGAATTATGCAATATGCACTGTTTAAAATTTCTTCTCGTGTTTATATTTAAAACTATTTTGTACCAATTGAAACTTAGTGATTTTGCTTACGACTAAAATTCAAGGGGTGGTTGAAATGTAGGAACCCTATAGCTAACCAAGTTTGAAAATGTTGGGGAAGCCCCAGGAAAAATATTTTGCCGTAAATAAACGTCTGTGTCTTGATCTTTTAACCGAATTGTTCAAAACACAACAGGGTGTGTGCAGAAGTGAAGTTTTTCCATCATCAACTTGTCTTTGTAGTACGGACATGATCCCACAAAGTTGGGTTTAATTTGAAAGGTCCAATTCCAAGTTTTTCATGAATTCCCCTCCATTAAAAAGACAACAACAAAACAAAAATACTAGTGAGCAATATGCTCACTAAATAATACAGCCGCCTCCCAATGGTTATATTGGCAATATCCCAAAGTCCTGGGAGACCCGAAATAAGTGTCGGATAAAAAAGTAAAATAAAAGGTGCATAATGGTCTTATGTAATAAAGAATCTGTGAAAGTATCATTACATTTTATTCAGTGGTGTAGGAGGAGTTGCGGATAAGAGATGGGTACCTTTCAATACAGTATTATAGAAAAAATGGCCGTGTCAATGTTTTGTTCTGGGAGACCAAATTTATATGTGTCCGATAAAAAAGTAAAATAGAAGGTGCACAATGACACTATATA